TCACTAAGCCTTAAGACTAACCAACCAAATCATACCACATAGCATGAGAGTCTCAAACTAGATGAAACTAATTATTCAAAATTACCCCTAAACCTAAGCAACTTTTAACATCTTCTAAACATCACATGTTATCACAATTATAATCATATCATTGACACATAAATTAATCCAAAAAACTAAAAAAATTTAATCCTTAAAACATGCAAACACTGAAAAAAAAAAAAAAACTATAGAAACAACAAATGCAAACACACAAATGTAAACACATACTTAGACATACCAAAGAATTAATATTTCTATGTCCCACCCCCAACCTAAATTGGGCAATGTCCTCATTGCTCTATTAATCGGTATTAAACAAAAATCATTAGGAAAAACAAAAACTAACACATCTCAATGGGTTGCCTCCCATGTAGCGCTTTGTTTAATGTCGTTAGCCTGACATTGTTCTTTGCATAACTTTCCATGTCCGTTGGTTCATGGAGAGGTACTTCATCCAATTGTTCCATGAATGGCTCGTAGTATGGCTTTAGACGATGGCCATTGACCTTGAAGTCCTTCCTGATCTTCATGCTCTTAACTTCCACTGCACCATTGGGAAAAACATTAGTAATCACAAAAGGACCAACCCAACGGGAACATAACTTACCGGGAAAAAGTTTAAGACGTGAATGGAATAGAAGAACTTTTTGTCTAGCTTCAAAATGCTTTTGCTGGATCATTCTATCATGGAAGGCCTTTGTTTTGTCCTTGTAAATGCGTGAACTTTCATAAGCTTCATTCCGTATCTCCTCAAGTTCATTCAATTGCAATTTCTATTGTTCTCCCGTTGCATCTAGTTTCATATTTCATTGCTTAATTGCCCAATAGGCTCTATGCTATAATTCAACGGGAAGGTGACATGGTTTACCATAAACCATTTGGAATGGGGACATTCCAATTGGAGTCTTATATGTTGTCCTATACGCCCACAATGCGTCGTCAAGTCACAAGCTCCAGTCTTTCCTATTTGGATTCACGGTTTTCTCTAAGATGGACTTGATTTCTTGATCAAAGACTTCGGCTTGTCCACTCGTTTGTGGGAGGTATGGCGTAGAGATCTTGTGGGTGACGTTGTATTTCTTCAAGGTAGCCCAAAATGTACGGTTGCAAAAATGAGTGCCCCCGTCACTAATTATGGCTCTAGGTGTTCCAAACCTTGCAAAAATGTTAGATTTTACAAAATCTACAACAACTTTAGAATCATTAGTCTGGGTGGCCTTTGCTTCTACCCATTTAGACACATAATCAACAGCAAGTAAGATATAAAAGTAACCATAAGAAGACAGAAAGGGTCCCATGAAATCAATACCCCATACATCAAAAATCTCAACAAATAAAATCAGATTTTGGGGCATTTGATTTCTTGGGCCTAAATTACCTGAGCGTTGACATCTATCACATGTTTTGCAAAAACAATATGTGTCTTTAAAGAGTGTAGGCCAATAGAATCCACTCTTAAGAACCTTGAGAGCTGGCCTCTTTCCTTCGAAGTGTCCTCCACATGAATAGGAATGGCAAAAAGTTAAAATTGAATTAAATTCACTTTCGGAAACACACCTTCTTATGATTTGGTTAGGGCAATATTTCCAAAGATATGGATCATCCCACACGTATTGCTTGGCGATCTTCTTTAGTTTGTCCTTGCTAACACGCGACATGTTGGGTGGGGTTCTCTTAGTCACTATGTAATTTACTATATCTACATACCATGGTCCCGAGGATGTCATTGCAAGTAATTGTTCATTCGGAAAATCATCTTTCAATGGAAGAGCATCTTCTTGGTTTATCAACCTACTTAAATGGTCTGCTACAATGTTCTCACTCCCTCTTTTGTCTTTGATTGTTAGGTTGAACTCTTGTAGCAATAGAATCCACTTTATAAGCCTTGGTTTAGCCTCCTTCTTTGTAAGCAAATACCTAAGAGCTGCATGGTAAGAAAAAACAGTAACTTTAGTGCCAATTAGATAGGAACGAAACTTTTCTAATGCAAAAATAACTGCGAAAAGTTCTTTCTCAATTGTGGAGTAGTTAAGTTGAGTCATTCGATGATCTTGAAGCATAATAAATGGCATGTGGTAACTTTCCAGCTCGTTGTCAGAACACGGCTCCAATGGCATAATCACTTACGTCGCACATCAACTCGAGTGGAAGACTCCAATCGGGTGGCTGAATAATTGAGGTTGTGGTTAGGAGTTTTTTTAGTTTCTTAAACGCCTTTATACACTTTTCATTGAACTCAAACGCTACCTCTTTTTGTAACAAACAGCATAAGGGCCTTGCGATCTTGGAGAAATCCTTGATAAATCTCCTACAAAATCCTGCATGTCCAAGAACAGAACGTACCTCTCTCACACAAGTGGGAGGTGGTAAGGAACGTACAAGATCTATTTTAGCTTTATCAACTTCAATCCCCCTAGATGAGATAATATTCCCTTAAACTATCCCTTGATTTTCCATTAAATGTCATTTTTTCCAATTTAAAACGAGATTAGTTTCTATGCATCTTTTAAGAACTAATGTCAAATTACCCAAACAATTATCAAATGAGTTCCCATAGACACTAAAATCATCCATAAATACCTCTATAATGTTCTCTATGTAATCGGAGAAAATACTTACCATGCACCTTTGAAAGGTGCATGGTGCATTACAAAGGCCAAATGGCATGCGTTGATAAGCAAAAGTGCCAAAGGGGCATGTAAACGTCGTCTTCTCTTGATCTTCTGGTACAATCACAATTTGATTATAACCTGAAAATCCATCAAGAAAACAATAGTGAGAATGGCCCGCTAAACATTCAAGCATTTGATTGGTAAATGGAAGAGGAAAATGATCTTTGCGCGTTGTGGCATTGAGCTTGCAGTAGTCTGTGCACACTTGCCATCCCGTTTGAATGCGAGTGGGAACTAAGTCATTATCTGCATTCTTTACCATGGTTATTTTGGATTTCCTAGGAACTACTTGGACCGGACTAACCCATTTACTATCCGAAATTGGGTAGATCACACCAACATCTAACAACTTGATTATTTCCTTCTTCACTACTTCCATCATTGGTGGATTCAACTGTCTTTGCGCTTCTCTTGTAGGCTTCGATCCTTCCTCTAATAATATGCGGTGCATGCACATGGAATGACTTATTCCTTTAATGTTAGCAATCGTCCAACCAATTGTCGTTTTGTACTCTCTCAACACATGAACAAGTTTCTCTTCTTGCACCTTTGAAAGGTTAGTCGCTACAATCACGGGCAATGTGTCTCCTTCTCCTAAGTATAAATACTTGAGATGACTTAGTAAAGGCTTAAGCTTCAAGGTAAGGGCCTACACAATGGAAGGTAAAAGTTTCTCATTAGATATGGGAAGAGAAATATAGGAGATTTCATACCTTGGATTTTTCTTTGGAAGCTCATCCAACATTGCTATAGTTTCATTTAGCTCTTCTCCCAACTCTACGTCTTTGATGCGTATTTACTACAACATACATAAATAGCAAGTGCACTAGTCGCACAAAGTAATAAAGTGATGAGTGAGTATCGTTCCCACAAGGATTGATTTGTTAAGCACTAACTTTCCTAAGTGTTTCTCAAGTTGGAGCAACCACAATTGTTTGGATTAATGGGAGAATTAAAATTAAACTAAAAACAAAACCTCTAAGTATTAAAAACTGAATATTGAAAGAAAGAAATCAAACACAAGGATAATATCAATCTAACAAACGGTTAGGGTTTTGACTTTATTCAGACTCTATGGATGGATTCAATGGATTATGCTAATTTCACACCCACATGCACGGATTGTAAATCGAATTCTCTAAATTATCAAACATACCTTCTCAGGCTATGAATTCCTACTTTTCTCTATTACTTCTGCACCCAACAAATTGAAGAATAATAGAATCAAGTTCATTAAGCTAATAGAACCCTAGGTTGATTTCATTGGTTCTTAAATCTATCTCTAGCATTTAATACTACAACGGTGATTACCCAAGAAGCTCAACATGATTCATTTCTCAATCTCATCATGTTCATCAAATAAATTCCATAAAAACAGAATAACCACACAATCTATGCAATAGAGGATGGAAATAACAGTAATCAATTCATTAATCCATAAAAATCCGAAGTTCATCAAAACCCTAACCCAAAAAGGGTTAGTTCATAACTAATTTAACATAAACAGCAAAGAAAACAGTAAATAAAATAATAAGCATATTGAAATAAAGAGAAAGAAAAGATATCTCCCCTAGTTGAAGAATCTCCAAGGTTAAAATCTCCAATCTTCTCTATTTCTCAACATAAATCTAAGTAATGTTCAAAGAAAACTCTAAAACAAAGCAAAAACGTCTCTCCCTACAAAAATGGCAAAGTGTTTCTTTTATACGTCACCCTAAAAACCTAAAACCTTCCTAAAAATGAAACTGTGCGTTTTGAAAAAATCTGAAATTCGCAGACTTCGCCACAGCAAAGGAAGACTTTCGCCGCGGCGACGAGGTAAGTTGGAATCCCGTTGCTAACTTCCTTCACCGCGACGAACCTTCATGAAAAATTCTGAATTTACAGAATTGCCTTTAGCTTGTTTCTTTGCTTGAATCTTCAATCTCCAATGCTTTCCCATGGGAACAAGCTTCATAGTGCTTCCATCTGCTTCAAAACTCTTCCAAATTCCGAGATCCGCTCACTTATGGGTCCAGAAACTCCAATTCGCTCATTATTTACTCAAAATGTCCATTTTGGCCTGAAACACAAAATGCAGAGAATTAACAATTAATTCAGGCAAAAATGAACTAAGAAGTATCTAAAATCCGGCCAAAAAGCCTAATAAAAATAGTATAATTCTCGGATTATCAGTCTTCATTAAAACTTTGAGGTTCCTCGGTTAACGACCCATTCCATATTGCCACTTCCAATGGATCTTTACCCTTAAGCTTGAACATTTGTTGCATTAAAGAGTCAAGTACATCAATGGAAAGCAATCATGTCATCATTAGGATACCTCATTGCATCAAAGATGTTAAATTGAATGACTTCCCCATCAAACTCCATTGTCAACTTCCTATTATGCACATCTATTTTCGTATAGGCTGTTTTCATGAATAGTCTCCCCAAAAGCAATGGCGTGGTTTTCACAGTTGTTTCATCTTTCATGTCAAGCATGAAGAAATCCACTGGAAAAACAAGCTCGTTTACCTGCACCAAAACATCTTTCACAACTGCCTTTGGATAGACCTTAGATCGATCAGCGAGTTGAATAACTACGTTGATCTCTTTAAGAGTACCAAGATTTAAATCAAGATAAATTGAGTAAGGCATGACATTAATAGAAGCACCTAAGTCTAACATTGCTTTCTCAAACCTTGTGTTGCCTATGACGCATGGTATGGTGAAACTACCCGGATCTTTGCACTTTGTTGGAAGCTTCCTTTGTAAAACCACTGAGACATTTTCTCCCACGCTCACCACCTCGTTTCCCTTAAGCTTTCTCTTGTTGGTGCACAGTTCTTTTAGAAATTTTGCATAACGTGGCACTTGGTTTATTACATCCAACAAAGGAATGTTGACATGTACTTTTCTAAAAGTGTCCAAAATTTCTTGTTCATGTTCCTCCTTCTTTGATGTGGCAAACCTGCTAGGAAAAGGCAAAGGAGGTTCGTAAGTATTAATAGGAACTTTAGATTGTACCTTAGGTGGATGTTTTGCATTGGAAGAATCGGTTGGCGAACTTTCTACACTTTTGGGCTGTTTTGTTCTACCTTGAATCAACTCATCTCCAACTTCTTTCTCATCAATTGGCTTCTTGTGAGTCTTCTCAAGTTGTCTACCACTTCTCAAAGTAATGGCACTAGCATTCTCCCTAGGGTTAACCAAAGGTTGGGAAGGAAGCTTTCTGGACCCATGCGCCTCTAATCTTCCAAGAGTAGTAGCCAATTGACTAACTTGGCTTTCCAAATTCTTGATTGACATTTTTGTTTCTTGTTGGAACTTGAGATTCTCTTGCTGAAATTGAAGAGAGCTAGTTGCTAATGAGTTTACCAAGTCCTCCAAAGACTTACCTTGAGGTTGGGAAACATTTTGGGGTCTTGCTTGGTACGGTTGTGGAGCTTGTAGGTAAGGGAAACCAAGTGGATTATTAGTGATAGTAGCTTGTTGATTTCCTCCATAGCTAAGATTCGGGTGATCCCTTCATCCTGGATTATAGGTATTGGAAAATGGATCATACCTTTGCCTTTGTTGTCCTTGGTATCCTCCCATGGCATTTACTTGTTCTGCATTTGTCTCTTGAAGGGTAGGACACATATCGGTAGGATGTCCCACATTGGAGTAAATTCCACATGTCTTCACTTGTCCAATTGCAATTTGTTGCATAAGTGTAGTCAAATTATTCAATTGTTGCTCAAGATTATTGGATATCCCCACTTCATTTACCTTCTTTGGTGGTGGATCGGATTGAGTACCAAATTGTTGAAAGTTTGCCGCCGTGGTTGCAATTAAGTTCCTTGCTTCTATAGGAGTTTTATCAACTCTTCAACTATTAGTGGACCACATATATCACTATGGATGATTCCTAACAATTCAGTAGCCCTTTCACTTTGTCCTGTGAAAGGTGACTGCCTAAAAGGCATGACTCGCTTACCTCAAATGACAAGAAGTCAAAAGGGTCAAAAACTCCATCCCTTTGAAGTTTTGCAATGCATGTTTGATTAACATGACCCAATCTACAATGCCAGATGTATGTATGGTTTTGATTGTTGTGTTTAACTTTCTTAGTTTCAACATTGAGAATATTCTTATTGTTTAAATCAAGAACATATAATCAATTATATAACCTTGCAATTCCAAATAGAATACCATTCAAACTAAAGGACAACAATCCATTAGAAATCTCAAAATGATATCTTATATTATCCAAAGCGGATATTGAAATAATGTTTCTAGAAATTGCAGGTACAAAATAAAAATCTTTGAGTTCCAATAATAGGCCCATAGGCAAAGATAAACAATAAGTCCCTACAACTAATGCAGCCACACGTGCTCAATTTCCAACTCGTAGGTCCACTTCTCCCATGGCGAGCAATCTACTTTGCCTTAGTCCCTACGCATCAGTACAAATGTGAGTACCACACCCTATGTCTATGACCTAAGATGTTGAAAGAGAGAAATTAATCTTAATCGTGTACATACATGAAGTCAAAGCGTCTGACTTCTTCTTGTTTGCGAGGAAAGCCTTGCAATGTTTCTTTTAGTGGCCAGGCTTGCCACAATAAAAGTAGACTACCTTCCCACCTTTTCCAATGCCGCCCTCAGGCTTGAGACCATCCTGTCTTTTGGGCTTGGGATTGGCCTTTCCCTTGCCCTTAACCTTTCCTTTACTGGCAATAACCAGTAAAACAGGCTTGGACTTTTTTCATGTCCTGTTCTACAGTCTTTAGCATGTTTAGAAGCTCTGACAAGGATTTCACTGTCATGTTCATATTGAAATTCATAATGAGTGGTGCAAAAGAATCAAGTAAGGATTGCAGAAGTAAATCCATTTGTAATTCTGCATCCAACCCAAATCCCAAAGTCTCAAGCCTCTCTATGTACCCAATCATCTTGAGCACATAAGGACCAATTTGGGCTTCCTTAGTCATACGACTTCTAAACAACGCACTTGACACCTTGTACCTCTCATGTAGAGCGTTTCCTTCGAAAAGCTCCTTAAGGTGTAGAATTATGGCAACAACGTCCATAGTCTCATGCTGCTTTTGCAGCTCAGGTGTTATCGATGATAACATAAGGCATTGAACAGTATCAGCATCATCAAGGAACCTTTGGTAAGTTTCCTTTACTTCTTGAGTTGCATCAGGATCAGCTCAGCCAAATAAGGCTCGTCAAGGATATAAAATTTCTTTTTGGACTTCAGTACAATCTAAAATTTCGATACCAGTCCGAGAAATTAAATCCATCAAGCCTGTTTTCTTTCTTGATTATTGATCGTAGGTTGATATTGCTCATTTTTAAATGAATCTACAATACATAAAAGTAAAATCAATATAATTTTTATTATTATTTTGATATGGTAGAAGTATACCCTTTGCTCTGGTGAACAAGGTTCAAATGAACAGTGGTTTGATTAAAGACATGATGATGGAAGACTCAATTTTGACTTAATATACTTTAGTTGAGGGGTTTTTTTATTTTATGTCTCACCAATTTTATCTTTCTTAGCATGTTGTAGTCATAACATACACCCTTAGCATGCATACTAAGCGTAAAATAAATGTTTTGGTACATAGCCTTAACTAAAACCGATTTGCTTAAGTCAAGAGGAATTGCTAGGTCAACCTAGGTTTAAAAGGAAATGGATTCTTCAAGTAATTTTGCCTCCTTCCCTTTCATCGCTTCTTCTTCTCAAACATTACACAACTTTCAAAAATAAAATTACATTTTCCATTATTGAAAAGAAACCTTGAGTTACATTCGAGGGGAGTGAGATGACAGAAAGAAGTTACACTGGAGGTTTAGAGAAAGGCAGGGCACGCAGGCCCTATTTTAAATTACATAACCCAAAACAATTAAACTAGGTTCGTAGGCTTATGCACCAAGCACCATGCATATTCACAAACAAGAATCATGCATAAACAATCAAAATTTAATTTTGATTAGGTTGATAAATTATGTTACCCCTTGAATTTTGGCAGTGTTGTGTTTAAGTCCAATAAGTTTTAAAAATTTCATTTTAGTCCCTTATTATCGGGCCTCACTCAATTGGGCCTCTAGAATGTTTCTAACATGCATCAACATTTTTAAGAAAATTATAGATTAAAAATATCACACAACAATGCAATCACGGCCCAAAATTCAGCCTATTGCATCTTTACGTGGGCTGCCCAAAAAAATCCAGATTTGGTGCACGTTTTAACGCACACCAGATCAGGCCCTTAGCTGAAAAACCAAGTGTCAACCGAGGCCAAGGGAGCACTTAGCCTCCATGAGGTAGCCCCAAAACAACAGCCAATCAAGAGGATAGTAGCGGCGCATTTGCATGCACCACTGTTGCATGCGGCAGTAGCCTTGGTGTAGTCGCACAAGGCTGTTGTTGTGCCGTTTGTGGTGGCACAGCCCAAGGCCACATGCTGGAGCATGTGTCCAGCACTCCTCCCCGTGCGGTAGCGTGCAACAGCAGCATGTAATCTGTGAAGCAGCAGCGCACAAACTGCGTCTCGTTGCTACCGTGCTACCATGGCAGCACACAGCAGCAACATGCCACCCTACAAGGCAGCATCCTCCTCAGATCGGAATCAAGTTTTATTTGATTTCGATCCCCCAAAAAAACAAATGCCAAAAAAAGAAAAAAAAAAAACAGATTTGCAGCACGTCAACCACAGCAGAGTTTTAACACAAAAAAAAATTAGTTTTTACACATCATGCAATAACATAATCGATACATATCGAAATCAATTCAACCAAACATTGAATAACAACGTAAAAGGTATAAGGAAGACACTGATACCACTGTTACTCACTGATGGGGTTTACGTAGCAAAAAAAAAAAAAAATCCCCAACAACAATATTGAACCCAAGAACCTTTTACCCGATTTACATTATTTACATATCAAATGATGTTGAATATAAAATTTCCAGATTTCATACCAGCGTTTGGAGGCCCCTTCAATCGATACAAATTACTCATACTCTAAGATAAGAGTGAACTCTCGGTATCCACAAGAAGACAGATAGTGATTGACTTGCGGTCTCAAGTGCTAGTAAGACACACAAGCAAAAGGTTGTAGAATTTTTCTTCAAGAAAAATTCTCGTCTCCACCAAGTGAAAAACGTGAGAGAGAGTGAGGTGAGTGGCTTGGATTTAATTAGTGTGTTCTCCCATTTTATTTTAATTTTAAGTTCCCTTTTATATGTAACAAAAATTAAAACCCTAATCTAGTTAGGAATAAATTTATTCCATGACTAGAATAGTAAATCCTCATTACCAAACAAGGTAATAATCCGCATGGCATCTTATTCAAATTCAAATATGATTTTCATATTCATATATTATCTTTATTAATATCAACAACTATTAATATTGAATATATATTTAAATTCAAATATGAATTTCATATTTCATATATATATTATCTTCACTAATATTAATATTAAATAATGTATATAATATTTAAATATATGAATATATTTAAATACATAATCTCACTAATTTTAATTTCAATATGAAATTAAATATAGGCAACGACCTCAGCAAATTTAATTGCACTATAAGATTACCAAAATGCCATTTCATCTCAAAAGACGAAAATATCCTTTCCATCATAAATGATGAAAATACTCTTTCATCACAAATGACGAAAATACCATTTCTCCCTAATTCATCCTTAATTTGTCTTCTATGTGTGTGACTCAAAGGCTCCTCATCATATCGGCAGTGAGTAGTCTCGCGATTGACACCAATCAACCGTCTCACTAATCACAGACCAAGATTGGCCCCTAGCAAGGCATCATGGCCACTCGATAGATTCGGATTTAGCGAAACAGTTTGCCTATCAATGATATGGTTACCGTGCAAACCGATCCTTTCATCATCTGTTATCTCATCAAGGCTCAGGTACAAAAATAGTGTCAACTTTAGTTATCTTCGATATCTTTGTATTCAGTTATTGGACCAATGACCAGAATAATAAATTGGATTGAGCAACAACTCAATCCCATTATGACCACAGCTTTAGTGTCATTGCCATTTACTGAATTGCGCCGTGAGGTAACTTCTCCCGTACCAGGGAGTGATGAATCCTTTATTGATCCACCATAGTCTTGATACACTTCTCAATGCAGCCAATCACTACCGTATTGATAGCTCTGAATAGAACTACGTTAGGCTAGTGTCAAACTACACCAATCGATGCATAAGGCGCTCCGATGATCTCAAGTCTAAGGATCACATGCACCACCATTCGTTAGAGGATTTATT